CTTCATGATGATTTGGTGTATTGAAGATTGTAACAGTCCGCCGTTATTCTAGATATGATATTCAGGTACGTTGATATGTTCAAGGTATTTGGGTTGAATTGGTATGAGCAATCATGATCATCTTTAACATTTAACAGTCAAGTTATTATAGAATTTATTATGAATAGTGATGGTTAACGCTTAAAAGACTTGTGTGATACGTGGGTTCAAAAGGGCCAAGCTTTTGCCCTTTTCCTTAGTAGATGAGCTGAATATAATTGTCTATAAAAGCCCTTCACTTTCATGAATTTCTACAGGTTCAAAACCAACATATCCAAACAAACCATGGCTTCCTCCTCCACTCACTTCTTTCTTTCAAGCTTGGTTTTCTTGATGATCTCCTTCTTTCAACTATCCTCACATCAGCAACTGTGTCATAAGGATGAGTATCTTGCTCTAATGCAATTCAAAGATAGCTTTGTCATTGAAAGGCAAGCATCTACTCATCCTAAAGTCGATCCTTGGAAATCGCAAGGGGTTGATTGTTGCTCATGGGAGGGCATATGGTGTGACCAGAACACTTCTCATGTCATAGGCCTTGATCTCAGTAGCAGTTGTCTTTTTGGTTCTATCAATTCCAGCAGCAGTCTCTTCCGCCTTGGACACCTTCAATACCTCAACCTTGCACTTAACGACTTCAATTCCTCTAAGATACCATCTGCAATGGGCAATCTTTTGAGGTTAACTTATCTCAATCTCTCTGGTTCTTTCTTTTCTGGTCAAATTCCACATGAAATTTCAAAACTTTCCAATTTAGCTAAGCTTGACCTTTCTTTCAATCTTGATCACTCACATCAAGGATTGTTGGAACTCAAAAGGTCTGATTGGAAAAACCTAGCTCAAAACTTAACCAAGCTAGAATGGCTTGACCTCTCTTATGTTGTTATAAATTCTCCAATACCAAAGGCCTTGGCAAATATGTCATCATTGACACATCTCCATTTCGGTCAATGTGGATTGCATGGAAAGTTTCCCATAGACATTTTTCAACTACCGAAACTTCAAGTCCTTGCTTTGGATAACAATTGGGAACTTAGTGGTAGTTTTCCTGAATTTCACTCTCACAGTCAGCTTAGGGCACTCAGTGTTGGAAACACAGCCTTTTCTAATGAGTTACCTCTCTCAATAGGAATGCTTAGCTCTTTAGAATATTTAGATGTCAGTAGTTGTAACCTCTCAGGTTGGGTACCACCTTCAATTGCTAATCTCACCAAGCTCCATGTATTGAACCTTGCAAATAATTCTTTCAAGGGAGAAAATGCTCATTTCTTCTCAAACCTCACTCAACTAACTCAAATAAATCTTGGATTAAATCAATTCACTTTTAGTGAGGTCCCTTCTTCTTTGGCTAGCTTGACCCATCTCATGAAGATAGACCTTTCTTCTAGTCATATTTCTGGCCATTTTCCATCTTGGATTACAAACCTAACAGATTTAAGACTATTGGTTCTCATGTCTAATATGTTACAAGGATCTCTTCCAAGCTCAATTTCCAAACTCAAGAACCTTGAAACATTCTCTGTTAGCTTCAATAACTTAAGTGGTATTGTTGAGTTTGACACATTTCTTGAACTCAAATCCCTTAAAGTATTGGATTTAGGCGACAACAATTTCTCTTTAGTAATCAAAACTCCCACCAATAGAACAATTCCAAACTTTAGAGAACTATATCTTGATTATTGTAATCTAAGAGAGTTTCCAAACTTTTTGCGTAACCAGAGTGAATTGATTTCCGTTAGCCTCCGCTTCAACAACATCCATGGCCAGATACCTAGTTGGATATTGAATATGAGGGAAGGTTTGTTGGTTTTAGATCTTTCTGGCAACAATTTCATAAGTTTTGAAGAATCCTTTCTCATTTTTCCTTCTACTAATCTTTTTTATCTAGACCTTAGTTTTAACTTTATCAAAGGTTCTCTACCAATCCCACCACCCTCCATCCTTTTCTACTTAGTTTCCGAGAATATGTTCAATGGAGAAATTCCACCTCAATTCTGCAACATGACTTCTCTTCAAGTGCTGGATTTGTCTCACAATAATTTGAGCGGAATGATGCCGCAATGTTTTGGCAACCTTAACTCCATGTCGGTTTTAAACTTGGAAGGAAATAACTTTTGTGGTCGTATTCCTGAAACATGGGAAACTGGAAACAAACTCAAAGCAATTAAAATGGGACAGAATAATTTGCATGGAAGGTTACCAAGATCACTAAGCAACTGCAAAATGTTAGAGTTTCTTGATCTTGGAAAAAACAAGATCAAAGATACTTTCCCTTCCTGGTTGGGAGCTCTTCCTGAATTGAGGGTTCTCATTTTGCATTCAAATAGGTTTTATGGCACAATTTCAATCAAAGTACCAGAGATAGATTTCTTGTTTCCTAAGCTCCACATCATTGACCTTTCAGACAATGGATTTGTTGGCACTTTGCCAATAGACTTCTTTGCGAGATGGAATGCCATGGCTGATCTTGATGGGGAGAACACAACATATTTGCAAGCATATAAGCACTGGTTCATGTACAACCTTATCCTCATTCCTTTTGTATTTCCTTACTCAATGACAATAACAAACAAAGGAGAGAAGAGGGAATATCCAAAGATCTTGGAGGTTTTTAGTGCCGTGGATCTTTCTTGCAACAAATTTGATGGAGAGATTCCAGAAGTAGTTGGGAACTTAAAGCGACTTCAATTGCTCAATCTTTCCAATAACATCCTTGTTGGTCCAATCCCAACAACCTTGGGATATCTTACAAATCTTGAAGCACTTGACCTTTCTCAGAACAAGTTGACAGGAAGAATTCCTACACAGCTGACGCGGCTCAATTTTCTTGAAGTCTTCAATGTGTCTCACAACCATTTGACAGGTCCTATCCCGACAGGCCAACAGTTTGATACATTTGAAAACAGCTCTTTCGATGGAAATTCAGGACTGTGTGGAATGCCACTGTCAAGAAAATGTGACTCCTATAACTCCAAGAATTTGCCTCCACCATCCTCAACCTCCAAAGGAAATGAAGACTCTGGATTGTTAGCTGAATTTGATTGGAAATTAGTGTTGCTAGGTTATGGATGTGGATTCCTCATTGGTGTTGTCATTGGAAACATTGTTTTTACAAGAAAACGCGAATGGTTTATGAAGACATTCCGAATTTGGTAGCCAAGATGCAAAGGGAGGGGTGTGAAAGATTGAATAGGAGGAAGCAGCGAATATGATATCTACCCCCTATGCTATCACTTCATTGTTATTTTTTTTCTCCTACTTTTCTCTGTTTGTGATTACTAGTCAAGTTCAGTGCAAGTCCAATGTAAAGTATAGAGTGGAATTTCAGTCTTCATGAATAAGTACTTATGGTGCTACTTCAGCAGCGGATATGGAATATTAATAATTTCCTTTTAGTAAATTCCTTGCTTTCCATATAGTGAGAAACAGAGAAGAAAATTATATTCTAGCCCAAAAATGAGAAGAAAATTATATTCATTAATATGAAAATTCAATTTATCATAAAAAAAAGTGCTATTTTTCGAGACATGTGATATTTTAATTGCATATGATTTGTTGTAATTTTTGTTTAAATTGTACTGCGACCATGGAATTATTGCTTAAAAGAAATTCTAGGATGTTGAGTTCCTAGATTACACACAGTAAGAACAGAAGTATCTGGAAAATAACAGATAAGAG